TGTGTGTGTGTGTGTGTGTGTGTGTATGTACAATTGTTCCACCTAATGTCTCTTTCCTCCCACCCTGACGTCTCCAGACCAGATTCTATCCTCGGATTCTGCTCCCCCTTGAGAAACTTAAAGGAGCAGGGAAATAATTGTTAAAAAGGATAGAAAGACTTCAAGTCCCTGGTGCCTACTTCTAAAACACAAACGCACATCTTTCTGAAAACCATCAAGAGGCTCCTAAAGCCCTGTGAATACAGCATCTAGTTGAGAAAGTGTAGATGGATGGCCGAGGTTTTCACGGAGAGTGGTAAGTGCTGCTGTATAGACAACATGCATCCCCTCAGGGCTTTCCGTAATGTTAGTCTGTGAGGGACATAAAAATACACAAGTCTCTGCTCTTGGAAAACATACATCTAGTGAAGAAAAAATAAAGCCATTAAACCAATGTCATCTCCATATGACATATAATTAGATAGACTTAACATATACATATGTGTGTGTGTATGTGTGTTTGACCATTTACCTGTATATGTTTGTGATATGTGTATGCAGGTATGTACGTATATGTGTTTATTTGTCAGCTGACATATATTTGCAGTGCAATTATGTCTTTGGACATAATTAAATTATGAATTTAAACGGAGGTGAATTTAGGAATTCTTACACATCGGTGTGACTTTGGAAATCATCATAAACAGAGTTGGGGTTCTTTCCCTGCCTGCCACCTCAGAACTCCATGGATTGTGTGAGGCTCTCCGAGAACACTGAGTACACAATCACCCACAACCCTCTGCCCTCCCCCATTGCTGCCATGTTCTCATCAAGTCACTGGGGACATAACTTTTCTGTAGGTTTTCCTAAAACCAATCACTGAAACATGCAAAAACTGTTCATACAGAGCCATACAAAGACACGGATCAGGACAGATTGGGCCTGTAGACTTTAGTTTATCAACCTTTGGCTTCATCGGAACTCCATTTCCCTAAGAGAACAGAGACTCATCACAGGCAGGTAGCGATGGTCTCGGAAGACCTAGGACCAGAGCTTGGTTCCATCCACTAGCTTAACCAAGCGAGGCCACAGAACCACGAAAGGTGTTAGCATATGCCTCCGTGGCCCTCTCTCTTTCACGGTAACTATGGCTTTGGGACCCCTGCCAAGGCTGACACAGGGAAGTCTCTACCTTTATCTCCATCCTGCTCGTTGGAGATTTTCTTCAGGTCGATGAAGTGGGTTGCCAGGGCTACGTCGCTCATGCTGCCTTCATCCCAAACCTGAATTTTCACCCTCCGGCACAAGGGAGGGAACATTTCCTTGAAGACCACCTGTTCGTGCCAGACAGGATCAGCACAGTTCTTTTGCACCGAGGTCCGCCCCTAGAAGCACAGCCACGGAGATGTGAGCCATGAAAATAAATGGCTAAAAAACACTTCAAACCACCTGGGGACTTAAAGGGAATTACAAAGATGGGCTTGCTTCCCATGACACCTATGGAAGTCGACTGCACCCCAGTAACATGACTGGTGACCTAGATTTTGCGTGGAGCATGGGGCAAAGGTGAACTGCTGTTCTTGGAAATTTCTACTCAGCAGATAAGTGTTGGGGTGAACACCTGTGTCATGAATCCTACATCTCCAGGTAGGCAGCAGACACAGCTACACCCTGAGTTCATGCCTGCATAAAGACCCGGGTTCATGTAACATATGTATGGCCTTGAGGGAATCGATGCTGCAGCCTGGGCCTCAGTTTCCTTGCTATAAACGGGAATGATGTCCTCTATGCCCCCCAAATTCAACCCACGTGAGAAACACTCCAGCATTCGCTCCTGCTGATGGGAAGGGACAGGGACTTTTGTACTTTCAAAATACGGTCAAAGTTTCAAAGTCCAGTCAGGCAGAATGCAGCTTTGGCCATGAACCTAGGCCTTGGTTCTTCCCATGGCTCTCGAGACAGGAACAGAGGTATCTAGGGTCATATAGAAGAAGAACTACCTGGAACACTGAAATGTGTCAGGAGAGAATGGAAATTCTGCGGGGCCTAGGGCCTGGCACTTGCTTAGAGAAGCAGCCAGAGCTGAGGAAAGGTATTTTTTGACCTGGCCCCAAGCTGCAACACATCCAGCCATAGCCCCTTTTCACAATGTCCAGGGATTGTGAGTGGGCAAACCTCCTCTACACTTCCCCGTCTGGTGACAAGGCTTTCTCTGGAGTGCTATTAACCTAATTTCATTTGATTAAGAATGTTCCCGATGCAGAGCAGGTTATAACTGTCACTATTGGTGACCAAGTTTCCTCACCGTCTGCCCAGCAAAGGACACCTCCACGAAGGGATCCACCAGGTCCTTACTGTCACCCACAAATGCTTTGGTGACGTTTGCCATAATGCTGGAGTTCATTTTGGGTAGCCCCTCTGCTCTATAGAGCCGCACATAGAATCTGGCCCAAGGTCTCTCTGATGGGAATCCTTGAGGGATCAAAAGGTTCCTAGAAGGGAAAAAAAGATTTTTAAAATAAAAAGGTCTGTCCCTCCAGAGTAGGTAGGAAGGGCAGGTGCCTGTTGGAGGCAGAAAGAAAAATCTGGATACAGAAAAAACTCTGGGATTCATCACTAAGCCAAGTTTTCTTTCTAGTTCTTTCTAGAATTTAACTTTTTATTTTTTTTTTT